CAAGTAGGACCACAAATGCTCTATTGGATTAAGGTCAGGTGAATTTGGGGGCCAAGACATAACTTCAAAGTCACTGGAATGTTCCTCGAACCAATCCATGACGATTCGACCCTTATGACATGGTGTATTATCCTGTTGGTAAACACCATCCCCCGCAGGAAAAACTGTTGCTATGAATGGATGAACCTGGCCTGCAACTATCTTCAAGTAGCTTACAGACGTCAGGGATTGTGGGTCCTAATGTGCCCCATGAAAACATTGTTCCTGGGCGAGCAACCATGAAAACCTGGGGGAGTCCATTGTTATAGATGGAGGGTGGTCATAATGTAATGGCTCTTCGGTGTATATATATATATATATATATATATATATAAATCAAAGGCAGTTGTTGATAAAAGGTAATGCTTACTTTACAGTTTCATTGATAGGAGTATATTCTCTCAGTAAGTTCCAATAATCATTGACATAGAGGATTGGATAGTAATCACCAGAAATAGGGTCAAATTCAACAACTATAAAAAGAGAGAGCATTTATTACTAATGCTAAATTATTCGGCAGATATCTCTTAAGCAATAAAAGCAGCAATAGCATAACTGATAATGTGACAAACCTCACTTTTTATTTGACTGAAAAGAAAACAAATGCCATGTGAAAAAAAACTAGTATACATTACATTCAACTTTAACAGGGTGCATAGTCATATTCTTCAACAAAAAATAAGCACCTTTTAATGACTCAAAAATATTTTTAAGCACTACCTACATTAACAAAATGCAAAATAATTTTGAAACACTTTACATGGATCATGATAAAATAACTAGTTTCTGACAGGAAACTCTTTTAACAAGAACACATTTAAACTACATAAAGTAATAACATATTTGCAAATTTTTTCTGAGAAGAGTCCAAATATGATATAAAAAATTTAAAACTACTTTTTTCTTCAAAAAAAAAAAATTTTTTTTGTACATAATTTATTAAAATACTGTACAGCTTTTATTTTGATACTGTTAATAATGCATAAGATTAACTTTTTTCGCAATAGCAAATTCTAAAAATCATTTAAAAACTCTTAATTCTCTTCAATAACTAAAGAGAAATTTAATTACAGTAGAGTCCGATAATCCAAGCCCCGGTTATCCGAGTTTCCGCTTTAACCGAGCTATCAAATATTTTATGGATTTTTTTGTTCTAGTTTATTTTTTATTTTTAAAAATACAGCCGGAAAATAAATCTGAATTTTATCTTCCAAACACTCAGGAAGACGAAATCCAACAACTTGATTCGATGTAATTGTCGTTAATATCGTCAATAATGAAAACGAATCTAGCGAAGATGATGAAGACAGTGATGATTAAAATCAACATATAAAAATCTGTCATACAGATGAACTAAGAGCTATCGAAAATGCTATTGAATATATAGAACAACAAAAAGAGGTGACACCAGAAATCCCTAAAAAATGGCGAAAAATTGCTGCAGAAAAGCACCAAAGTTATGTAAAACAAAAAAAAGATTAAGGACTTTTTTTAAATAAAAACTATTTAATTCTAGTAAAGTATGCTTTTTATATGTTTTTAAGTAAGCCTTTTCATTTTAATATGAATTACGTATACTTATGAATTACGTATATGAATTACGTATTAATGGTATACTCGTATAAATGTTGTATTTGTTAAAAATATTACATTTATACCTACTCTTCATCTTTCCTTTTCGTACTCTTCATTTTAACCGAATTTCTCAGCTATCCGAGTTAGTCGCGGTTCACATTAACTCGGATAATCGGGACTCTACTGTACTACTACTTACGATTGGTAAGTGTAAACATAGATTCTAAATAGTGAGGCAGAAATCTAGAAATTCACTCACATTTTTTTCACACAGTTACGGAATCAAAATATCGATTTTGAAAATTTTTTTTTAACCCTTGAGCCTTTTCTGTTATTTACTTCAAAACAACGATGCATGCATTGATCTTATAACAAAACTGAGTAGAGGGCATTTATGGCTAAATTAAAAGGGATATATTCATTGATATCTTTTTAGTCTTGCTGCTTAAATCTGGAGAGAAAAAAATCCCTATGTTTTCCCTATACATATTATACAAAATATATTAAGAGGAAATAACAATTACTGTGCTCTTGTGTGAGCTATATTGGGCTAATTATATTTATTTGTTGTAATTGCTGGAAAAACAGCTGAACATGCTTAAAAAATGCTATAGTTAATGAAAAAGTTTAATATAGATGAAATATCATGTTTAAATATACCATAGACTGCGCTTTGTTTGGTCACCATTTTTTAAAAGACAAAAATAAGAAACAAAATTCCCTGTATTTTCCCGGTCTGTAAAGAAAAAATCAAAATTCCCTGCTATTTTAGGTGATTTTTAAATTCCCTATATTTTCCAGGTTTTCGATGTGGAATGGCAACTCTGCATTATTTTGAACTTCAGTTTCCATACAAATTATCGATTGCATTTTATATAGAATCATTTTTAAAAACAATTAATGATAACTTCACGCAAAAATTTATACAATGCAAATAAGCTTAAGGATTATGTAACAGGAGGTGTAGTCAAATTTTTGAATAAAAACTAAGCACCTCTTTTCAGTTTTCATGCATTCAAAAAATATTCTGAAACTCTTTATTAAAAAAAAAAATAAATAAAAAATAAAAAATATGGCGATGTTTCCATATCATGATTTGTCAGGCCAACTACAATCACCAAGGTGCCAAATAGATTTTAAACTTTAAATTTAAAAAAAAACATGTAGCTGTTTGTCTGGTGGTGGCTATGAGTTATACCTTTTGAGCTGGTCCCATTCTGTGATGTTTTGTTTTAGTTTCTCACGGGCCACTGCCCGGAAGTTGCCAAGTGATTATTCTGCCACAGATCATAATACGGAAATCTCCCCAAATATAATTAGGATATATATGCACCTATATGTTCATACATACATATGAACTTTCAATGGGAAGAATTTTTTTTTTTATTAGTGCGCAGATTCCAATATTATCAGGAGTCTGTCTAGATTTTTCTGAGAGGTACCTATTTTGCGAAAATTTAGACATAATTTGTAAAAACTAAAAATTATATTAAAAAATCAACACAAAAATATGGATTTTTTCATTTCTCACAGGATACAAAAATATAATTTTAAGAAAAAGTATTTTGCGAAAGTACTGCTTTCAGTACTTTTTAAAAACTCGATGTTAAATGGTTAGGCCTCAAAAACTGACATTTCAGAAGATAGATCCATGTAAAGTATGGAATAATTATAAAAATACTACATACATTCATCTAGAGGTGGTGGAACATGCCCTTGTACCCATGCTGTGTGGTCATCAATGATATTAATGGTCAGATTGGGATGCCAATGGGACAAGATCTCAAGAGGCGTTTCCTCAGCCTTCTGAAAGGATAAATAGACCACCATTTTTTAACAAAGGTCTTCTGAAATAATAATTTTTAAAGTGTATTTAAGTGACACTTACTTTTATATCTTCAGCACTGGCAGAAGTTTCCCCAGTCAATAAGTTATGAGTACGTCGATAACGAAGCTTTTTATATCTGTTCATTCCTGAAAAAATTTTATAAAATATATTTCTAATAAGAAATTTTTGCAGTAAAAATAATGAGCGAAATAAGAAATAGAACAGCTATAAAGATCTTGGTGGCAAAAACTTTCTGAAAATAGAAGAAAATTTTCCAATTTTGAAAGCTCCTTATATTCATTCCTGAAAAATTTATAACACTGTTGAATAAAATATATTTCTGATAAGAAATTTTAGCAGTAAAAATAATGAGTGAAATAAAAAATAATTAAAAAATAGAAAAGCAAAATAAAGATCTTGGCTGCAAAAACTGCCTTTTAAGAAAATGCAGAAAAGAAATGAAAATTTCTGACAATAGAAGCAAATTTTGGATTTTTTAAATTGGCGTAAAATACAAATCTTGACAGTTTAAGAAAAGTTCTAACAACAAAAATTAAAACATCTTACACTTATTTAGGTTAAACAAAGATGAAAACTGTTTCAACTATAAATATTTAAGAAATAAACTAGTAAGGAAAAATTATTTAAGCTAAATATTTTCCTCACTTTATTTTTCTAAGTTTTCTGTGTAAAGAACCCCCCCAAAAAATATATATATTAAAGACTAATAGGCAGAAAATATTACTTAAAAAATATATAAAGGCGACAAGAGGCAGTGAAATTTTATCCCTGTACTAATAAAAACACATGAAGGTAATAATTTCCACTCATCATTATGATTATTAAACAGCTGCCACTTATCATTATGATTACAGGGGTCTGTCCAGACATTTTGTGAAAGGCCCGTTTTTGTAAAATTGTGAAAAAATTCCTCGTAATTTGTGAATATTTAAATAAACGTTAAGTCACATTCTTTCAACCAGGGTTCTGCTTTTGTGAATTTGTGCAAATAGGGTCCTGTTATTGCAAAAAACTTTTTCAATAAGTTTTTAAATTGTTAAGACATACAAGATCATGCTCAACACTGTAAAATTATAATTAAAAAAATAAAATTTTCAAAAATAAACAGCAATTGATGCTACTAAATTAGAGGTGCAACATACAAATATTAGGTATTTAGCCTATACTGCTGAATGCAGGATATTCATTTTGGACGAATAAAGGAAGAAGTTCTTAAGAAGAAGACAAAACTTAGTTCGTTTACATCTGTCTCTCCTTCCTCCACCCCTTCCTGGGAAGGGTTTATTCGATTAAAAAAAACAATAATGAAGATAAACAAATTTGTGAAGGGTCCAATTAAAAGATAAATTATTTTGTGAAGGGTCCGTTTTTAAGATAAAATTTTTGCGAAGGGTCCGTTTTTATGAAAAGATATTTTGTGAAGGGTCCGTTAACGGACCCAAATTTCTTCTAAACAGACCCCTGAATTATTTTCCCTGTACTTTCGCACAAACAGAGTTACATTTGATAAGATTTTAAACATGAATGATGAAATTAAGAGAGTTATAAAATATAGTTGAACCTGTATATCTCAAACCTCTTTATCTCGAAAACCTCTATATCTCAAAGTTTCTCAAATTTCCTATGTTTACTGTCTGAAATCAATGTATTTTCCATGTTTATGTCGAATTTTTTTCTTTCAAACCCTTCATTTCTTGAATTTCTATTAATACAGCACAAATGACAAAAATTTTCTTTCACTTGCAGCAGACAGAGATTAATTTCGTGAGCCCACAGGGATGAACAGGTTGGTCTTGGAATTTTAATCACCATCACTGCACTTCCCTTACAATGATTCTGGCAGTAAGTGATAGGTTAATGATGACCAGCAGGGGCGAACTTTTCAACACAGAAAAGAAAGCTAAGAATAGAAATTCACTTCCATCTCAAAATTGCAATCAAAGGATAATTAAGAGTTTTAAAGTGAACTATAGGAAACCATTGGCAAGCATTGTAGATGAATTCGATGAAAAAGTTCCCTTCCAAAAATAAAGATGTTAGATGCTATCAGAATTACTGTCTTGCATGGAGAAAAGGGTTTAAAAACTACCCAAAATGGTTTTAAAAACCTGGTTTCAAGAATAGCTGTGAAGATGGTGAACAAGAGGTTGAAGGCATCAGTAAAGAAGAAACTGTTGACGCTGAAAAGGCAGTGCCAGATTTGATAGAATGGAATGCAATAAAATCTGGATTTAATGTTGACATTGATTTTGAAGATTTTCACAAGTGGACAACTGCCTGGCAACATGCGGAACATAGACAGATGCGGAAATCATAGATAATGCCAAAGGAATATCAGATGAAGAGGAAGAAACTGAAGATTATATAGATAAACCAAAAGTGGATGCAAAAGAGGTAGAAAAAGCTGTAGAATTCTTATAAACTATTCTTGAATCCCAGGAAAATGTTGGCTACGAGGGATCTGTGCTCTTTCTCACCTTAAAAGAATAATCGAAACAAAAAAGGTTATACCTTAAAGATTTTTGAAAAATTATTTTCAGTGTTAAAGGTATGTTAAAAAAATTTTTATGTACATAGATGTATGTGGTTTAATTCATTTAAATAAATTCCTATTCTTTTTTACAAAAAACAATTAAAGCACTTTTAATAGAATTTCTTAATTAAATGTGATTTTTTAAAGTACCTGCATAACTCAAAACCACTTTATCTCACATTTTTCGCCTTTCCCGCGAGATTCGAGACAAACGGGTTCGACCGTAACATGTTTCTCAAAAGTAGTGTTAAAAACAAAAGCTTTAGCTGGAAAGCTATAAAAGTTTAGTTGTAACATTTCAGCAAGCAGCATTTATAAAAAACTAACCACTTTTGGAGATCCGCTTGGTCACCTTTCAAAATCATCTTGTACAACATATAAACTTTAATGTTCGCCAAGCACAACACAACTGCCTTTAAATATTCTTTAGCCCTTCCTTAATCTTAGTTAAAAAGAATATATCAACCAAATTTTTTCACTGACTAGCCGTGGCCCACTAAATTTTCACAACTTTTAAGAGATGTCTGCGATACACTATCCTGTCAAAAGTACCCGGACAACCAGTGGTATGGATTTAGAGAACATAGTAACCCCTTTCCTAATTATACCGAGTTAACTCGGGTATGTATATATTGCAACTATTTATTATCCCGGGAAAACTCGGGCATAGCAGAACTTGCCAGTATGTTTTGTTTTTATTACATTTTTACTCGGCCAGAAGAAAATAATTAATAATATTGCTGAAATATATATACATATATTGGAAGCAGGGCCAGGATAGCCTGGCTGATAAGGCACTGGACCCATGTTCAAGAGTTCGATCCCCGCCGGTCGAAGTCTCCCCGTGTAGTAAATGGCGACTGATGCACGTTAAATCTGTTGAGCCGTTAAGTCCTCCATGTTCCCATAACAAATTAATACCTCTGGGGGTACTGATCCAGAAGTTTCCTTGACTTCTGGATTGGTTCAAAATGACAAGGCTACGGAGTTGAACATTAGTACAGAGCTAATTCTAGGCGGGGTTTGTGGGGCGCTCCGCCCCGTATGCCCTTTTGATGAGAAATTTCCGCCCTGTTGCCCTTTACTCCTTTCATCCCGCCCTGATATAATAAAATGCGCCCTGGGATGCCCTCTCTGGAAAGATCCCACCAATTAGTCTTTCCTGCAAGAAAGAATTTTTTTGTTCTGTCCCCCTCACACTTTTCTTGAAATCAACTTGTCCTTCTAGCTCAAAAACTATGAGTAAATAGGATTCCACGAAGCGCTCCCCCCCCCTCCTTACTATTTCCTCTTGAAGTTAGTAGTTGAAATAAGAGATCTTCCGAGAAGTTCCTTCTGTCAGGGAATGCAACCCCTCCTGCAGCTGTGTGGATTCGTATTTCTCCTTCTGGAAAAATCTCTTTTTCTTAGGACTGGAAGTATTGCTTATTTTAAGAAACCATACGGCAATGGTGAAGGTCAGTTGGTCAGTAGGCCTGCCAAGAGTTTTCTTGGAAAGAATCTTTTAAGGGAAGAAATCCTACTCACAAAGCCTGTAGACTAGTTTAGGGGTCGGACTAGGTCATTGAAAGAATTGATACATTCTGATTTATCTTCCGCCCTGCACCTCTCTCCCTACTCTACTTTATTCTTTTGAAGGAGGAAAGAAATTTTTACTTTCTGTTTCAAAAGTGGAGGGACTTAGACAATTAACTAACGAAATAAAAAAAAGCTTTTGTATCCAAAAGAAAACAAAAAAATATTAATTTTTTAATGAACTTTTTTTATACAATGACACAACAAAGTTCTTACGATAATAATGAATAATAAAGGCATTTCTGCTTTACTGTGCAGGCCACGACCCGATTGTCCCTCGCAGTTATCACATTTCTTAACAATCTTTCGTAAGGAAGTGCTTATCAGGTGCTGCGTTTGAAGGAGAAAAAAGGACAGAAAAACAAAGATAATTGTGGTCCGGGAAAAAGTCGGAATTACCGGATTTTTCGTTAATCACGATCCGGAGTTTTAAGGTCCAAAAGTTTATGGTTATGTTTCATTAAAGGTTTTTTTAAGAATTTATATTGGCAAACTACAATTTTTATTCCATTTTTTTTATTTATTTCTCTTAAATATTTTTTCCAGTAATTTCTCATTACGTTGGCAAGCTGCCAGCAGTATAAACAGATCATCTTTATTTTTTTATTTTTTTTACTCTATATCGCTTAGCACTAACTTTCTCGTTTTCATTAAAATTTGTTCGAGCAGTCTATTATTTTATTTTTTTTTATTAATTTGTTTATTCATACTATTAATAGTGCGTGCAAAAGTATAACTGTGCCTCATAAGGGTTGAATCAAACGTACAATTTATTTGTAGATGAAGCATACTTAATTCATTAAACGTTTTATCATTATTTATTTTCTTATTTATTATTTTGTTCGACTGTTAATCCTAATTGATACTAAAGAAGCTAATTTTAAGAGGAAACTTTTCCCTACATTTAGAATTTTTAACTCATTAACAGTTCAATAGGAGGTTTTTATTTCGACGCTGACGCTATCACAAGTGCTCCGATAATCGATGGCGATGACTCAGTGACATCCAGACATTACG